GCTTGCAACGACTTCCGGTCGTTCTCTTTCGGAAAGCCAAACACGCACGCCGGCGTCGGCGAGCCCGCGCCAGTACGCGCGAGCGTGTCGGGTCCATAGACAAGGTGAAATCCATGCGTTTGCACTGCCAGCCAGTTTTTTTTTAACGTTCCGAATGCAACTTTTCCTTTTCGGCGTGCTCACGACACGTCGCTGGGAAGTTGTCGTTAAAGAGGAACCGATGAACCCTTTGAAGTCTCGTCATATTAATCAGAAATTGCGAAATATTTCATTACGAGAATAATTACGGTATATGATTTCCTTCGTATCTCGAGTGCTCAATTTAACCCTTCGCGGACGAAGACTTCGAAATGTTAACCTTCAGAATTTTGTATCAGCTTAATTGATGGAAAGACAGCTACGCGATCTCTTCGAGTAATCGAATTATTTCGAGACTTGGTCTTCCAAATGTGAACGTTTCATCCTGTCGAAACGTCGAGAATTCGCTCGTAAAGGGTTAACGTTTCATGGATAACACGTCCAACGCGTCTCGGAGTCCAAAGGGTTCATCGTCGCAAATGAAAAACAAACCGTTCTTACCAATGTGCTGTCCCAAGCACCGACTGTCAACGCGTAGCGAGCGAAGTGCACGCGCGTCCGCGTGCACAACTGCCAAGCACCGCGGCGTACCACTCTTCGGTCCACATGGAAACTCGTCACCGTGTCGTGATGCAACGTGACTTATCGTCCCTCCATTTCCGCGTAACTTTTCGCCTTAGTTCCCCCCCGTTTCCCTTGATCCGATCCATTTCGACTCGTCTCGCGTACGGCCGTCGTCTGGACACAGCTGGACGCTGAAATCAACGAAGACTTTGAATTAATATGTTTCTATACGCGTGTTGATGCTAGAACTACCGAGCATTTCACAGGATTAACCCTTTGCACTCGAGAGGTGAGAGGACATGATTCGATACAACAAAACTGAAATATTAAATGTTTAATGTTTCAAATAGCAGTTTGCATTGCCACGTGAAGTATTCAAATGAAACACCTCTGTTGCTTAATTTGTCTATGAATTATTAAATTAGTTTCAGTGACCTATATCTCGTCAGGAAACTTGAATATTTCCATTGAAAATCTTTCGAGTGCAAAGGGTTAACATGTCTCTATAAAAATTGTAACAATCGATTGTTTCCAGTTCAGACATAGTATTCAAATGAGACTGTTTTCAAGATCATCTCAAAATAATTGCGAAACAAATCCTGAACCAGTCATTCTGACTGGCACGTAGTTGCAGTGCTAATCATTCTAAGATGAAAATCACCAACTCCTTTCTAATGTCCCGAGATTTTAGCGTCCGTGGCGACCGTACGCGATGCTAACGCTGCGTGTCCACTGGTAAGTAGCTTTTTCACGAGAGTCTACAGTTTTCGAATAGATAACCGTAAGTCTACCTAGTGGGCATGCAGCTTCACCGTCAACACGTTCCGTGCCACGTGTACCATGTATGGTAGCGACTTTTGTAAGAAAATATCTTTAACCCCTTGCCCTGGGATTTATCTCTCGACTATAATCGATACGACTGCTTCGTCTTTCATAATTCATCACGAAAAAGAACAGAATTATAGGGATATTCTACGTCAATCTTTGCTCTAAGCTATAACAATCGATAACAGAACATTTCATTCGAATTCAAAGACAGAGCAACGTTCACTCGATTCTCTGTAAAATCTGAAAGAAAACCGGAAACGAACAGTATCGAAATACACAGAAACTACCAAAAAGAATACGACTTCACTCTTATCGAACACTATCTTTCTATACACGATTCTCACTAGGTAATTCATTTCAGTAAACACACGAAAATTCCAGTGTTAATTACTCCGTTGCTGATGCTTCGCTGACAAAGCAATTACTTCCACATTCTACAGCGAGCTTCGACAGGATCCGTCACCTCCCGCGCGACTGTCGTCACGCGAGAGGTGACTCAACCGTTAAGGGTTAATATTTTCTCGAAAAAATCAGCGTAGCTCGCGAAAGCGAAATGCAATCGAAGTTTCCGTGGCACGGGACGCGTGAACACGCGGGAGCCGAGAGCGAAAGGAAAAGCGCGTGCGCTTTTCCGGCGAGTCGATCGAGCCCGTTCGAGCGGACAAGCACCGAGAACCAAAGTAGGAAACCATCCCACCCACCCCCGCCCCATCCCCTTACGATTAATAGGCTGTGAATACATTTTGGTCGATCGACGTGTCTCGCCCGATCGATCGTAATTTATCGACTTTTCGGAGACCGTTCGAAAGGGTTGTGCTCGAATCGCGGAGAACACGGGAAACGGGCGAATCACGTGGCCGACGAGGAAACGATCGCTTCGACGGTCGATTCGTCGGTGAGAGATCGATGATCGGTATCGGGCGCGCGAAGTCCTCGCCGGTACGAAGGAAACAGTCGGAATTTCTTGGATGCTCTGTGTTAATTGACGTTAACGCTTCGTCGTTGATATTAATTGGTACGAGTGTTAATTTAGAATTGGCTAATTTAGAATTAACCCTTTGCGAAGGAAGGTTCTTTGAAATGTACAGAATATTCAAGAGACGAAGCTGAATTATACATCAGTTGCTTAATTAATAGGAAAAGAGGAATCTACGTACTGATCTCTTACTATCTAAATAATTCAATGATTTATTCGCGACCTATCGATCCCTGCAGACAAAGATTCCCTGAGATATACGAAACCTTCAACGCATGAAGTTCAATTATACATCGATTACTAGAAAAATAGGAAACTACGTGCTCCCTTGCTGTTCGAGTAATTAAATCATTTGTTTGACTTGGTCTTCCAAATATGAAAATTTCATCTCGAAACGACATTCGTCCGCGAAGGGTTCCAGTATAGAGAACCTGCAGATTCTGCAAAATTGCATATCGAGTGATTCAATAATAGAGAATAAGGGAACTATGTACTGATTTCTTGCTGTCCGAGTAGTAGAATCATTTGTCACTTAGTATTCCAAAAAAAGTTCGATGTCAAAATGTCGTCGGCAAAGAGTGAATATTTCCCTGGAACAGAAATTTCTCCTATAGAAGCTTCGATTCTTCAGAATCGGTGAGAACTTCCGCACACCCGGTATATCGAGAAGATTCGGCGTTAAGTGTCCTATGACCGAAACGGAGACACGTTTGTCCTTAACCGTTCGAGTCCCAAGCGGCGCGATGGCGGCTCGTAGAACCAGGCGAAGCTCATATCTTTCTAATCATTCATTTCTACTATAATCATTACTCGCTCAGAACTGGAACGTAACGATTATTTAACCCTTTGCACTCGAGAGGTGACTCACCACTTGATTTCATACAATAAAACTATAAAATTTGATATTCAATATTACATTTCCCATAATGCATCATTTCGAGAAATATTCAAATAAAATACCTTCGTTCCTCAACGTACGCTTGATTTCTCGTCGACTTAGTTTCACGAAATATCGTTCTTACCTCGTCAGAAAATGTTCAAATATTTCCAGCGAGAAACTTCCGAGTGCAAAGGGTTAAGATTTCTTTCCGCAAAGACAGAAGAGCGATTCGGTTTCCGAATTGGAACGAAGAACTGCCGCTCGGCAGTTCGCAGATCGAGCTTTCGCAAATCCGCGGGACTGAAACGGTTAAGTTCGATCGAACTCGGCTCGGTGTCCGGTTCACCTCGAATCGGCCGGAAGGAAAAGTCGCGGATCAGTGGAACCGCCGTACATTCGCAGCTTCTTTTATAGATAGAAATAAAAACGAACACACCAAAGTGCAATACTTACACGGGTTACGCGTGTATCTGTGAATGCCAATCGCCGAGAAGGATATACGGCAGACTGGTCTCTGCCGAGAGCCGGCACGTCTGAAGTACCAAGGGACGCAGAACGAACGACAGTGGCTGCCTACACTGCCGGTCAAAAGTTCGGCACCGCTGCCTCGGTTGACCCTTTCGGGGCCAGAGTTTCGCCAAGTTTCTTTCAACCCTTTGCACTCGGAAGTTTCTCACTGGAAATATTCGGGATTGATGACATTGCTCGATAGTAATTTGACGATAATTCACAGATAAATTAAGCATGTTTTATTTAAATATTTCCTATAGCAATAGGATGTTCAATTTGAAATATTAAATATTCAACTTCACAACTCATTTGACGATAATTCACAGATAAATTAAGCATATTTTATTTAAATATTTTCTATCGTAATACGAAGTTCAATTTGAAATATTAAATATTCAACTTCACAACTCATTTGACGATAATTCACAGATAAATTAAGCATATTTTATTTAAATATTTTCTATTGTAATACGAAGTTCAATTTGAAATATTAAATATTCAACTTCATAGTTTCGCTGTGTCAAGTCAAGTGGTGAGAGTCACCCCGAGTGCAAAGGTTAGGCAAAGTGAACACATTGCGTGCGGGCCGTTTTGTTCGTTTCAACTTATACCAGTTGCATTCAGTTCATTTATTTATTAAACATACCTTCGAGAGTTGCAAATAGGGATAATTCCATACACAAGAAGCATTGACTACTTTTGTTTTTCGTACTAAGTCTGCGATGGAGTCTCTCGAGTGCAAAGGGTTGATAAATCATCATTGTTAATAACTTGAATCATACGATTGATTAATAATAAGAATCCGGTGAATGGTTAGATTGATTAACCCCTTGGCGTACTATTTACTTACTAAGCTCGTCTAATATTTTACCATCGACAATTTGTAAGAAATACAAAACCTTCCATTCTACTTCAGGTGGAAACTTCACTTGAAGATAATACATTGATAATAGCAAAATAGTTTCCCTTGATCCGTGGTGATGAACAACGTTGATTTTTAAATTACTCGTCATTGTACGGCAAGGGGTTGACAACGGGGAACGATGGAACGTTCAACTGAAATCTTTCACCGGCAGTGTACGCCCCCGCCGTGAAATAAATATTTTTTCAACAGCATTTTG